GGCGGATTTTTTCCCCCTTTGTTTTGGTAATCCTCACCCAAGGATATTTCCTCCATTGATATTTGGAGAGAGGATGGGAGGGAGAGACATCTATTGATTGCCTCCTGCACGCGCCCCAACTTGGCTGTGGATGGAACCTGCAACTCGGGAATGAACCTGGGAATGAACCTTCCTTGCGTGGGCGTCGTTCTTACCACTGAGTCGCACGGGCCAGGGCGGGATTTTTTTTTTCCCCCTTTACCTACCTTTAAGCACTAGCCATTCTGTGATGCCTTCGAAAGGATAAATTGGATTTCCCCCTCAATCCTAAGAAAATTGCCTAGTGGCTGGGCAAACAGTAATATTTTGAAAACGTTAAAGTATAACAACTTTACAATTTTGGCATGTCCTTGAAAAGGAGGCGTTTTGGTTCCTAGAGTTAAACTGTCATTTTTAAATCTTAGAGACAGTTTTCCTGATCAAGATTTGGTAATTAAGTTCTTACCTAGTTCTTGATCTGGCTCCTTTTACAGTTGAGGACACTGAAGCCCAGGCAAGTTCAGTTGCCTAGTAGTTTTTCCCCAGGTAATGAAGGTTTCCTGTATAATTTCTGCCAAAATATCCTTGTTTCCATTAGTGTAAGAGTAGAATGATACACATTGACTTGGGAAGAATTCTGCAGGTTTTGGAAGGACACTTGTAGTATTGACTAACTATCTGAATTTAACGGAAAGCAACCTGTAAAACAAGAACCAAGTACACTGGAAGCCACCTTGCAGTGGGCAGGACTGGGTTTGGCTTCAGCTGTTCAGCTTGGAGCATTTTAGCTTTGTAACATTGATCCCCTTCAGGTGAGTATTGGCCCTGCAATTTGGATTGTAATGTCACTGCTAATAAGGTTTAAAATGATCAAAGGTCCCAGACCAAAAGTTGAAACAAATATATTCAGGAAATGCATTAAAATAATAAGGTTCAGAATTAACTTACTGAGAAGTTACCAATGATGTTAATGGAGACATTTGGGTAGTGAGCATTTGGAGATTTTTGTTAAGAAACTTTCAATATTGGCTTTTATTGATGGATTGAGAATAAAGTTTGATCTGGAGGGGATAACAGCTTAATTACCGCGAAGAGACTCTAGGAGTTGCCAGTATCTTGGTCATTTTAGGCTTTGCATGTGATCTACTTTGTTGGGGCGTGAATAGGCATTTCATCAGTATCACCCAGAGGTGATTTTAAATTTTAAATTCTGTATTAACGGTTGTTTTCTTTCCAGACTGCAAAATTCAAAATGGGGCTCAAGGTATACGTTTCATCTACACCAGAGAAGGCAGACCGAGTGGCGAGGCTTTTGTTGAACTTGAATCAGAAGATGAAGTCAAATTGGCCCTGAAAAAAGACAGAGAAACTATGGGACACAGATATGTTGAAGGTTTGATTTATGTTGCCCTAGTAACAGTAAATAAACATTAAACAGAGATCTATTTTATCCCTCCTGAACTTTAGGTATTTGACCGCATGGAAATGGTCACCTAAGGGTTTGTGGCAGCTCTTCCTAGATTATCTAAAGACCCAGGAAGTCTGAACTTAGTTCTCTAACTTTCCAAAATTGACTAATTCTAAGCACCTCTTTCAGTATTCAAGTCAAACAACGTTGAAATGGATTGGGTGTTGAAGCATACTGGTCCAAATAGTCCTGACACGGCCAATGATGGCTTTGTACGGCTTAGAGGACTCCCCTTTGGATGTAGCAAGGAAGAAATTGTTCAGTTCTTCTCAGGTATGTAGTCGTGTTTGTTGCTGAGCAGTGAGTTTTGGCTAGCTCCTGGCAACATGACTTAATAGACCTTAAAGTTGAGCAACTGAGATATTTTAACAGATATTTATATGCAGATGAATTAATGTTTTCTTCCTGGAGACCTTCATATAATTTAGACCCATCTTGATGGTGGAAATTAAGTATTTTGAAAATGCTAACTTGCCTGTATTTAGTATTGTAGTTCAGAGTAGATCTTTGAGGATTGTCCTCAACAACTTTAACTACTTTCCTCACAATGCTGTTCAGCAAAGTACTTCAAGTTAAAGGTAAGATCCCTAAACATTAGATTAGTGTGAGTTAGGTGGTTGTAATTTATGGCAGGTGTATATGTTGTAAGACACGTTGGGTCTTGGGACCAGAAATGTCTCTTAACGGTCTAATTCTCTTTATGCAGAAAAACTGATTTAGCCAGGAAAACCTAAATTTACTAAAAGTCAAAGAATAATTGAATGTTATAGTCTTAGTATCTGAAATACAGAGACTGTTTTAAAGTTGTTCTGGGCCTAACGTATTTGAATGTTTTTATGCTGAAGAGCTGATAAAATTGCATGTTTAGTAGAATGTTTGATCCTATATCTAAAATACTATTACTTGATATTCATGGTGTCATAAACTGGAATTAAGAACAAGACATCCTCTCATGGTTTAGGGTAGTATAAATTAAAATCCTGACTGTTAGATATGTATCAAGTCCTAATATTTTGCCAGAATTTTTGAGATCAAGTCTGTTTTTATTGTTTTATCTAAACTGGTGAGAATTCAATGCTGTCAACGTTAAATATGAACATAATTTCATATCTTCTAGGAAAGTGCTTTAAGCCCTTTTTGTAAGCTTGGGAATGTATCCACGGAAAGGATTTTTCATAGACGGAATTTCCAGAAGTGAATCATACTACTGTTAGAACATAAAATGCATGATTGTGCTGTCTAGATCAGTATTTGTTTGCTGAAAGTTTAGATTGTATGTTTGTCAATTATATACTTAAGCAATGTTTCAATTTGTATATAAAATGTTTAAATGTGTAAATTTTTAAAACTTGAAGTTCCACTAACGTAAAACATTGAACTATAAAAATGAGGCAAAAGGTGTTTCTTGAATTTAGTAAAACTGTTGTATTTAATGCTTGAAACTTTTATTATTGTGTAATTTTCAACATTGAGTAGATAAGAGTGTTTGTTATTTGTTGAATTCTTAATTCATCCTGTGCTCGGCAAGTTTTTTCTTTGCGCCATGGGTGTGTTAAGAATTGTTATACTTAGTCATAATGGAACTTCATATTACTGCAATGCATATTTAAAGAGTACTTGTTGAAAGCATACCGTTCACCTAAAGTTAAAATTCTGGTTTATTTAAAGCTGTAAGAAGAATCATTTCTGGGCTTGTGATGTTAATATTGCCCCCCTACTGGGGTTATTTGTCCTTGGGTTGAAGGGTTGGAAATCGTGCCAAATGGGATAACATTGCCGGTGGACTTCCAGGGGAGGAGTACGGGGGAGGCCTTCGTGCAGTTTGCTTCACAGGAAATAGCTGAAAAGGCTCTAAAGAAACACAAGGAAAGAATAGGGCACAGGTGGGGATGGATGGTTGGTTGGATTTGTCACTTTTCTTATGGTAAAACATTAAATCCATATTCTCTCTGCTTAGGAATAATAAATTTTTCTAGTCCCAATTAATTGATGTTTGGCCACAATTTTCGAACTTTACACTATGCCCAAGTCCCATAATGCATTCTGATTAAATTTTAGATTTTAAAATTGGTCTTAGTTAATTTGGTCTACTATATAATTTTGTAAGATCTATTTAACCCCAATCAATTGAGTTGAGAGACTATGGCTTTTAAAAAAATGTAATGCAAACCTGACTTTAGCTGTAACACCCACATAGTAAATTAATATTACCATAAGAAAATGTGATACTTTCTGATCTTGTTTTTAAAGTTGAAATGCAACAAACTTTCTTGCTGTATAAATATTCTGCATATATATATTAATAAGCATAGCTTTCAAGAAATTGTCACAAAAGGTTTTATTCTCTTCGCTTGTGACTATTTTTCATTGAAGCATGCGCTTACCTATGCTGATTCCTACTAAAAGCATAGGCTGGGGTATTTACTGGCGAAAGAAAATGTGTAGTGTGGGCTAGACTGTTGGTGGAGGCTGGCTTTTTAGCCCACTTGCTATACGTGCTGCCAAAGGATTTAAGACGTGAAATGTTGAAAGTTGAGTGGAATCTTTTCCCTCCTAAAACATTTGTTTATAGTACTCCTCTCCACCCCTAAAGGTGGGCTTCTCTGCTTTAGAGGAGTGAGTTTTCTATAAAGTTTACATGAAATAATCTTACAATTGAGTGAATTTCTGGTCATTGCCTATGCAAGTATAAGAAATCTGGCTTTAAATATTAGTCAGTTTCATGGCTATGACTACATTGTTTTCTTGTGTAACTAAATACCTGTATGACATGAACTAATTTTTCCTCTCCCCTCCCCGTTCCCTTCTTCATGAACAATGCTTTAGGTATATCGAAATTTTTAAGAGCAGTCGAGCAGAAGTCAGAACTCACTATGACCCACCACGAAAGCTTATGGCCATGCAGCGGCCAGGTCCCTATGACAGACCTGGGGCCGGCAGAGGGTATAACAGCATTGGCAGGGGAGCTGGCTTTGAACGGATGAGGCGTGGAGCTTACGGTGGAGGTATGTGAGAATATGCAGGTGTGAGGAGGGTGGTTCTTGTGTGTTGTCATTTGATTGATTGTACTTTTTGTCTTTTAGGTTATGGAGGCTATGATGATTATAATGGCTATAATGATGGCTATGGTTTTGGGTCAGATAGATTTGGAAGAGGTAAGGTAAGAATTGAATTTCTCAACCAAAGGCTACTTACACTTTGTCCATCTAGACCTCAATTACTGTTTTTCAGGAATGTCTGACCACAGATATGGAGATGGTGGCTCTACTTTCCAGAGCACAACTGGACACTGTGTACACATGCGGGGATTACCTTACAGAGCTACAGAGAATGACATTTATAATGTAAGTGTGAGGTGAATTCATAAGTCAGCCCTTCCAGTAGAGCAGTAAAAACCTGGGGCCTTAATTCTGCCTAAGTGAAACGGGATGTTATAAATTTTTTGTAACATTAGAAAGTTGACTTGATTCTCTGAATACCTTGTATTTAGTTTTTTTCACCGCTCAACCCTGTGAGAGTACATATTGAAATTGGTCCTGATGGCAGAGTAACTGGTGAAGCAGATGTTGAGTTTGCAACTCATGAAGATGCTGTGGCAGCTATGTCGAAAGACAAAGCAAATATGCGTGAGTGTGATTTCACTTCATTGTCTCGTGGAGTCTTTACAGGTGGTTGTGTGACTGACATGCAGAAATAGAATAGAAAGGATGTATGAGAAATGGGTTTGCTGATGGTAGGTTAGCTCTTGGGGATGTTAAAATTTTGTGGGTTTTAAAATTTGTGACAAAGCATTTGTGGTATTTGAAATATATCCAATAAACAAGGCAATTTAGGTGAATATTTAAGATAAAAGATTAGTTTTGGAAAGCTGCATAATTAAAGTAAATCAACTGAGAAGCAGCTAGAATTTTTTTTATACCAAAATATTTGAAGTTCAGTTCTTTGTTTAAGAACTTAGTATTCTTTCACCAACAAACATTTCAATTTTTTTTTTCTCATTTCAGAACACAGATATGTAGAACTCTTCTTGAATTCTACAGCAGGAGCAAGCGGTGGTGCTTACGGTAGCCAAATGCTAGGAGGCATGGGTTTGTGTAAATATCGCTTTAGTGTCTTTTTTTTAAAGCTAACCTTGTATGCCTTTTCTCTCATTTCAGAACACAGATATGTAGAACTCTTCTTGAATTCTACAGCAGGAGCAAGCGGTGGTGCTTATGGTAGCCAAATGATGGGAGGCATGGGCTTGTGTAAATATCGTTAGTTTTTTTAAAAACCAAAACGTTTATATCTGTATAAGTCAATTATATAAGTTAATTTATATTTCATGAGTTTAGCATATTAAGTTAGGCAAAGGAAAAAGCTTTTAATTTTGGGTCTGACTTAAATCCTTGAGTTATGTAAAACTAAGAATAGATAACTAATTTTAAGTACTTTGTGGGGGGCGTTAAACAAGTAGAATTGTTTATATAGTATAAATCTAAAGTGAATGACAGCAAAAAGCATAGGATCAAAATAACTTAAATTTTTGGACAAAATTTGTTGGGCATAATTAGGTGTTCAGTGACACCTATGTAATGACAATAGCCTTACTATATCAAGTCATGGGGAGCAACCCCACTGATTTCAGTTAAACAGTTTCATAAGTTTTTCTCAAAATGCTTCTATGGAATCATGTGGATTTAGTCCTGCTGATGTGTATGCTTTTGGCCAGTTGGTTTATAAATGTTTGACTAGCTCAAATGATAGAAAGGTAGTCGGTTCATAGAAAATAGGCAAAGGGTTACAGTAATGTAAGATCAAGACTCGAAATCATAGATTTAGTTACAAGCCCGGTACCACCAGGTACCACATTACATAGGGAACAAGGTTCTAATGGTCTCTTAACTTAACAGCAAACCAGTCCAGTTATGGTGGCCCAACCAGCCAGCAGCTGAGTGGTGGTTATGGAGGTGGCTATGGCGGCCAGAGCAGCATGAGTGGATATGGTAAGTGTGTTTTTAATATACTTGCAGTAAGTTTTAGGTAGGTTTCTTTAGTTTGGGGAATATGCAGGCTCCTTTTTTGGCGAAATTGGGTTATTAAATATATGCTTTTGTTCCTGTTAAAACAGTTAATAGCTTAATTTGCAGGCCCAATTTAATGTGGTGGAGGGGGGAATGTTCTATAAATTAAATACACAACTTGGAATAATGTAGTCAGAAAACATCTGCCTCCATGTATTAAAACATTAAATAAACAGTTCTCTTTCTCTGTCTTTTGGTTAGTGTACTAAATTCATTTTAGATGGAGGGAGAATTGAAAATAGTAAATGGGGGTTGGGTTCAGGACCGTATTTACTAGTCAGTTAACCTAGGATTGGTTTTATTTTTTTCAATTGGTCTAAAGAATGGTGATTTTGGTATTATAGTCTTACCCTACAAAATCCTTTTGCAGACCAAGTTTTACAGGAAAACTCCAGTGATTTTCAATCAAACATTGCATAGGTAAATATTTTCTCAAAAAATATAATTTAAATTCCCAATAGCAAATACTGATATGTTGTGCTGATACTTTTTCTATAGCAGTCAATGGCTCTGACTTAACTCCATGGAGGCTGCCATTTTGGGCACAGTGAGTTGCCTTTAGTCCCAGTCTCACTCCTGCCCACCATGAATAGGAAAAGCAAGACTGCCCCTGTGCTCCCTATTCATATATGCCATTCGATGGACACATTGTTGTTTATGGTAAAATTTTTAAAAATGCCTTGTTTAGTTTTAGAAACATGAAGTAATTTTGCAATTTTTGAAAAACACTAGTTTTCCTTTAAACTTAATTTTCCATGTTGATCCTGAAGCACCTGCTTTTTAAATGGTAGCACGAGAGTCTGGCAAGATTTTGGTACTGCAGAGAAAAGGGGTTCATTGAGACTTGTTTGGAGTCGGGAGTCCCTTTTCCCAAACATGCTTCTCGCCACTTGGACAGCAGCCATTTGTACTCGTATTCTTTTCAAACTTTTTCCTGGAATGCGATATTTTACTTGACTGATAATGTGATACTTCTCCTGACTTGTCAAATTGATCTCTCTGCAGGCAGCCAAGGAGCAGTGAACAGCAGCTACTACAATAGTGGAAGCCGTGCATCTGTGGGAGTGAACGGAATGGGAGGGATGTCTAGCATGTCTAGTATGAGTGGTGGATGGGGAATGTAATTGGTCCTTATCACTGACTCTTGGTCAACATTATTTTAAAGAAGAAAAAACAAACAAAACGTAACAGTTTTGCAATACCAGCTTGTGATTTATGCTTACTCTAAGTGGAAATCAGGATTGAATTAAAAACTTAAAGGTTCATTATTTTTGAACACAAATATTCATCTAGGATGTAACAACTAAGTTGAGTAAACTATAACTGTTAAACAATTTTTAGCTTTTCTCAAGTTAGTTCTATTGTAGGATGTACTTAAGCAGTAAGTATATTTAGGTTAAAGAAGTTGAATTATGTTAAATGTTGCTCTTACATCACATCACATCGAACACTTCATGGAAGCATGTTGAAAAAACATGCTTTTTTGTAAAAATATAGGAGCTGTGTCTACAATTAAAAGTGAAACATTTGGCATGTTTGTTAATTCTAGTTTCATTTAATAACTTCCAAGGCATGTAAGTTGAAGCTTTTTTAAGTTAATGGGAAAATTTTGAGACGCAATACCAATACTTTAGGATTTTGGTCTTGGTGTTTGTATGAAATTCCGAGGCCTTGATTTAAATCTTTCATTGTATTGTGATTTCCTTTTAGGTGTATTGCGCTAAGTGAAACTTGTCAAAATAAATTTTCCTTTTAAAAACTGCACTTTGTCTTGTCTGTGCTTCAGTGTCACGTGGCCTGTTTCTTGGGCTCTATGCCTGCCTGGGCGTAGGTGACAGTGGCCCATGTCTCTGGCTGTGACAGAGGCTCCCCAGTTGAGGCTGTTGTGTAGAGGTCTTCAGACTTCCCTCCAGTACAAGGTAATCATGGCTTTGGGCCCCTTGTGGACGGGCTCTGTGTCTGTGTGCTGCCTTTGACTAGCTAAGCACTTGCACAAAGCAGAGGCAGAAGTGCCCTCACTGCATGCTGCATGTCCACAGGGGCCTTCAGGCATGGCTGAGGAGGAAGCATACAGCAAAGGGTGGCTGGAGCTGTCCTTCCTAATTGGATGGCATCTCTTCAAGTTTATTTTATATGGATTTTAGAGGAAGGGAGAGAAAAACATTGATTTGTTATTCCACTAATTTTTGTGTTCATCGGTTGATTCTTGTATGTGCCTTGACCAGGGACTGAAGCTGCAAACCTTGGTGTATAAGGACAACACTTGAACCAACTAAGCTACCCAGCCAGGGCTTTGCTTTTTGTTGATCATTACCCAAGGATATTTTTCCATCGGCTTTTAGGAGAGAGGAAAGAAACTGATGTGAGAAACACATTGATTGGTTGCCTCCTGCATGACCCATGACCAGGGCCTGGGCCAGGGAGGAGCCTGCAGCCTTGGCTGGAATTGAACCCAGGACCCTTTGGTCTGCAGGCTGATGCTCTAGCCATCGAGCCAAACTGACTAGGGCTGAGTTTGTTTTTTTTAAATACATTTTATTGATTTTTTACAGAGAGGAAGGGAGAGGGATAGAAACATTGATGGGAGAGAAATAGATCAGCTGCCTCCTGCACACCCCACGCTGGGGACGCGCCCGCAACCAAGGTACATGCCCTTGACCTGAATCGAACCTGGGACCCCCTAGTCCATAGGCCGATGGTCTATCCACTGAGCCAAAACCAGCCAGGGCAGGGCTGAGTTTTTATATGACGTGCCCCCTCTCACCAAACTAGAACATTTGTTTAGAAAATTCCAGAGGTGAAGTAAACTAGAAATGGGTTTAGGAAACAAGTTACAGAGGTTAAAAAAAGGGGGGGGGCCTTGGAGCTTGGGAGTGAGGAAAGTAATGGGTAAATGCTTGGGGGGCGGGGGAGGTGCAGGTGTGCTCCTAGGAGGGAGAACTCAAGTTTTCTTTTTCAAATTGAGGTTTTAATCTTCATTTTTGCCTCATTCCCAAAGATCCAAGACCACTTACGACAAGCATGTCAAACTGAAAGGCTTAACACGGGCAAATAAGGTTTAAGTTTATGTAGGCTGAAAAAAACCCCAAAAGCTTCAATTTTCATAGAAACAGGTTTATTTTGATAGAGATGTGCTGAATACAAAGGGCTGAAATAAATGAGTAATCATTGACATAAAATAGAACATTTTGATACTTTTTTCTTGAACATTATCAGACACTGAATAACCACAAATTAATAAGCATAATGCAAATAAACCTATTTTTCTTGTTCTCTGAAAGCGAAATATTTCCTGTTTGCACATACCGAACTAGTCCAAGACTAATGTGGAAATTGGCTGCTAGAGTGTTCACTGCTAGTGTTAGTGGAGAGAAATGGTGCGCCAGTGCATAAGCGAAATGAATGCAACACGATTATAGTAATCAGTCATTAGCGAACGTTGTAGTTCGTTATAACGATATTGTAAAAGTTACGAGATTTTTATTAAAACGTTTCTTACATAACCGTTCTATTGGCTGGGCCGTAAAAATATTCATTGTTGGCCACAGGTGGGCCACGAGTTTGACATGCTTGACTTAACAAGCAAAATTCATTTCCTTTAAGGCTCCTGACGGAGAAGACCACATCTTTTTAAAAAATTGATTTCAGAGAGGAAGGGAGAGGGAGATAGAAACATCAATGAGAAAGAATCATTGATCGGCTGCCTCCTGCACACCCCCTACTGGGGATCGAGCCCACAACCTGAGCATGTGCCCTTGAATCAAACCCAGGACCCTCCAGTCTGCAGGCCGAGGCTCTATCCACTGAGCCAAACCAGCTAGGGCAAGACCACATATTTCTGAAAGTAAATCATTATTTAAAGTCTGGTAGACTGTAGATTAGGGCTAAAATTTGACATTTGCTAGAAAATGCTCTAGCATTAGGAATTTATAGTTCCAGAAGTCCCTTCAGTGGATACTTAGACTGCAATTTGGAAACTACCACTCATTCACCGTCCCTCTAGACTAGTAATTTTTTTTTAAAGTTTTAAAAAATATATTTTATTGATTCTTTACAGAGAGGAAGGGAGAGGGATAGAGAGCTAGAAACATTGATGAGAGAGAAACATCAATCAGCTGTCTCCTGCACACTCCCCACTGGGTATGTGCCCGCAACCAAGGTACATGCCCTTGACCAAAATCGAACCTGGGACCCTTGAGTCCGCAGGCCGACGCTCTATCCACTGAGCCAAACCGGCTAGGGCTAGACTAGTAATTTTGAACCATTTTCATCCAATGGCATACAAACTACTAAAATCTGCAGTACATCAAAGAATAGATTGTTGTTTTTTTTTGCCAATCTGATAAAATAGGTATGACTTTGATAGGTTACAAAACAAAATAGTAGTAATTGCCTACTACTTTTGTTCTAAAGTGACTAAAAAATCAGGTGCCTACCTATAATAATAAAAGGGCAATATGCTAATTAGACGACGTCTTCATTGATGTCCTTCCTGATGGGGCCGGAGGGAAGCCAGCCTGGGCCCCGGGTGCCTGCAGGCGGCTGGAGGAGGGAAGCCAGCCTGGGCCCCGGGTGCCTGCAGGCGGCTGGAGGAGGGAAACAGCCGGGTCCCGGGTGCCTGTGGGAAGCCGGTGCCGGCAGCCGGGCGAAGGAAGGCCTACTCTTGCACGAATTTTGTGCATTGGGCATAAGTACTAGAGGCCCAATGCATGAAAATTTGTGCATAAGTACTAGAGGCCTGATGCACGGAATTCATGCAAGAGTAGGCCTTCGCAGCTGCGGTCTGAGCTGTAGTGGCTGCCTCCATCCCACGGCTGCAGCCCTGGCTTTGTCCGGAAGGACGTCCGGTCTAATTAGCATATTATACTTTTATTATTATAGATTTCTGGTACCAAGGACTGACTAATCAGATGCAATTCTATCATATGGCCTATATCAGGGGTGGGCAAACTTTTTGACTCGAGGGCCACAATGGGTTCTTAAACTGGACCGGAGGGCCGGAACAAAAGCAAGGATGGAGTGTTTGTGTGAACTAAAATAAATTCAAAGTAAACATCATTACATAAAAGGGTACGGTCTTTTTTTTTTTAGTTTTATTCATTCCAAACGGGCCAGATCCGGCCCGCGGGCCGTAGTTTGCCCACGGCTGGCCTATATGTTATAGTTCAAGACGGCATTCACACCAGATGGTTGTTGTGTTGGCTGTTCTTCTTTAAATTTGACAGTCGGGAAGAGAGGTCAGTGCCCTTGACTAAAATTGTCAGGTATTGCATGTTTAAAAAATTCTTGCAGCACACCGGTTGGAAGTTGCTGCTTGCTCCAGACTCATTAGTTGTATTGATTAGCTGCAGATAAAGGCTTGTACACTTTGGAGCCTGGTGTGTACATTTTGCTCTGACAAGTGCTGAAGGTTTTCTCCTTTATTCCTGGGTGAGATCAGTTTGGTGGGACTACTCAAGTCTAAGTCTGTAGGTGGCAGCATTGCGCGAAGATGTGCGTGGGCCCTGCAGACCCCCCTGCCCTGCTGCACGCTCTCTGCTGGCTGTTGGTGCTGCTCTTCACTGTCGGGAAAGGGCTCTGGACACACAGGTGTTGCACTTGGAATGGATCATGTCGCTTGTCCAGCAGGTTTAGAGATGATTAATGTTCAGTGTGAGCACTGGTGTTCAGCTACAGTCTAAACCTAGCATTGGCTGAGTTATTAAAAGTGTGTGGATTGGAGATACCTGGTGTTGAGAAGGCTCAAGGAGGGTTCCATCCTTGAGTTCTTGAGTTAATTTGTTTTACATAAAGAACATTTTTGTTGAAAACATTAAGGAAGGGAAAGAACTAGAAACATGGAGTAAAGCTAGTGAGTAAGAACATTCTGGTTCTTAGGAATCTTACGTTCCGTGGGCCAGCATCCTGGAGCTTGTTGGGAATGACCAGAACCTCCAGACATTGTCTGCATTGAACACCAACCTCCACGCCGCCCCATCAGCCTGTGCACAGCAGCTGGGGAGCGCCGCCTTCGGCCATCTGTCTGTCACTGCCCAGGTTAGAAGGTTGCCAGACCAGAGGGTCCCAGAGGTCAGGTGTGTATCTGACGTCTGAGTGAAAAGTTTTCCATGCAGCTAGATATTGGTAACCGGCCCAAGGATTCTTTGTGAATAATGCCTGGCCATCTGTTGCTTGGGGGTTAGGAGGGGGGATGAGGTTGGAGGAGAAAATAAGCGTGATTAAGGGAAGAGCACGAGTGTGGCACAGTGGTGGGCATGTCATGTACTTACTGAACCTTCAGAATAGTACACTAGTGGGGAGGCATTACCCTGCTACCTTTTGTACGTGCAGATGAGCGCTAAGGCTCAGAAGTGAAGTGACTTGCCTAAGGTCCTCGGCAAGCCGCAGTTCAAATTGGGTGCATTGAAGACAAGGTACATACATCTAATGCCAGACCAGTTCGAGGTAGCAGTCTGTAAATGTCTGGGGAAGAGTGAATATTTAAAAGCTCAGGGTAAGGTTGGATAAAACATGGCTTTGGGGTTAGGCATGGTTTTAGAGGCTGGCTGCACTGCATGCTGGGACCTAACCTCACGGAGCCCCTGTTTCCCATCCGTAACATAAAGGTGTATTTAAGGGAGTAGCTGGGAACCTTGAGCCAGGCTGTGGAAGAGCCCTCCTGGGAAGGAAGAGGCAGGGCCCCCAGCAGGGGCTGGCCAGCTGGGAGCAGCCCAGAAGGACTGGTGGGAGGATGAATCCGAGGGGCAGTAAGGTGAGTGCACTGAGGGTGGAGAAGGCTGAAGCCCAGTCCACAAATGGACTGACTGTTGAGGCCACTGACTGACTGGGGGAGGGAGATGCATGTGCTCAGAGGAGGAAGCCTCTGAGCCAGTTTTCACGGCCCACAGCTAACACCGGTCCTGACTCTGCTTCTGAAATGCAAACCCCAAGGTGCTTCCCCTCAGGTGTCTCCATGAGCTTGGGCGACAGGTCACTTCCCAACCCCCCAATGGATTTAACGGCCCAAGTTGTCCTTGGCTCGCTGGGCAGAGCACAGCCTATTCCCCAGAACCCAGCAGGCTTCACCCCAAACACGGCCCCCAAAGGGCCTATTGTCCCGAAATGGAGCTTGTCTGAGGGGTCTTCAGAGGCGAACTCAGGTTGACACAAGCTCCTTTATTCCCTGCACGAGAGTGAGAAGCGACTTACAAGGGTGTGAAAGGGCCCATTTCTTGACTCAAGCAGGGGAGGCACACAGGGCAGTGCGGGGAGAGGAACGGATTACTCACTACACTAGTACAACTGCTGCAAAATAGGTTAGTTCTTGAAAAAGTGAAAATGACAGTAGCAAAACCATGAAGTTACTTCGGACCCTAAACCAGTGATGCAGCCAAGTGAGAAGGAAGCTTCAATACAAAGTTCATCCCATACAACTCTGAAAGTGCTGGCGGCCGACCCAGGAACCGTTCTTTCCTTAGATTCTCTTGGGAAACCAGCTCCGAGCCGCGAACCCCTGCAGGTTGGCGCTGTTCCGAGGCCTAGGAGCCTGTGGAGGAGGAGCAGCGCTGCAGGAGCAGGGTGTGGCAGCTGTCACACACGCGCACGGGCTTGGGGTAGGAGGGCAGGGCCAGCTCGTTACTGGAGCACGTGTTGCAGAAGATGTGGCCGCAGTTTCGGCAGTGGTGCTAGAGGACAGAAGAGAGGCAGTCACAGGACTGCTGTGCTCCCTGGCCCACACCCAGTCTAGACTTGCAGCCTTTCAGAGTTCATTTACTAATTCCAGGTCCCTCCCCCAGAGACTTGCCAATTTGGAAGGAGTTCCTCTAGACCAGGGGTGGGGAACCTTTTGGCTATTTATAACGAAATTTATGGATCATGCAAAATTATCAACTTAAAAAGTAGCCTGCGGCCCTGGCTGGTTTGGCTCAGTGGATAGAGCGTCAGCCTGCGGACTGAAGGGTCCCAGTTCGATTCCGGTCAGGGCACATGCCCGGGTTGCAGGCTTGATCCCCAGTAGGGGGCGTGCAGGAGGCAGCCAATCAATGATTCTCTCTCATCATTGATGTTTGTATCTATCTCTTCCTCTCCCTTCCTCTCTGAAATCAATAAAGATATATTAAAAAAAAAAAAGTAGCCTGCTATATTTGGTTAAACATGTAATTAACTCACCCCTAATGCCCTGGCCTGGCCAGGCCAAATGATTTCATGGGCCTTATATGGCCCGTGGGCCACGGTCCCCACCCCTGCTCTAGACCTTTATTTCTACATTTATGTTCCTCAACAACCCATGGAGTGTGGTGGAGTGGTGTGCACTCGGACTAAGGTTCTTTTTCTTTAAAATGGTTTTACTGGACTTGGGCCCGGATCATCCAGTGACGGCTGCATTTATGGCTCCTTGACTGGTCCGTCTTGGGGGGTGAGGGTGTCTTGCTCTGTAAGCTGAGCTGCCACACGTTGGGCGGGCACACAGCAGACGCCAAGACCCGGACCCGTGTGGCTTCCGCTCCTCCGGGCTCTACATCAGGCTGCCGCTGCTGCCGCTGCCCATGCCCATCAGGCCGGAAGCTGGACCTCGCACTGGCGTAGGGAGAGCCAGGCGTGCGGAGCCCCCCGCTAGCAGGCCTTGTGAACGGCTGGTCTCAGAGGCAGCCTCGCCTGGGCTGCTGCTGTTCTCCTTAGAGTTTGGAAGTTTTGCTTCCTCTTTTCCACAGAGGGTTTTAACGGGACAGGCGAGAATGTGCATCCATATGGCAACAGATGGGGTGGTGGTGCCAGGGTGGCAGGCATTCCCCTTTTGGTGAGGACTCCCTATTTTGCTTGGGAATCTAGCCTCTGGCCAACCACGGTCCTCAATCCTGGACCAAAGGCTGGGCCCAGGACCTGTTCTCGAGACCTGGGGGCAGGCTATCCAGGCAGAAAAGCAGGTTCACCGGAGCAGGGCAGCAGGACGAGTGCCCTGCCCGGGTGACCTGTGAGCTTTGGGTGCTACTTGGACGCCTGTCCCAAAACCCGCTGCCCATCGGTTGCCCACTGATCCTTTTTTTTGACCAACTTGGGCAGGTTTTGTTTCTGTTGCTTATGAAGACTTTTCAATGATACATTCACTTAGACCAGTTCTGTACACAAGCAGCCCAACTCCCAAAGAAACTGCCAATCATTGAAAGGACTGTGCTGGGGACAAGGCCCATGACTGACTGGGGGCACCCTGCATGGGCCAGCACACCAGGCGTGACCCCAGTACTTGGCTTGTCCCAAGGCTCGTCCCAGAACCAGAGGAAGGGGAGCCCAGCTGGGTACCAACCCAGCCCCTGGGCACACATACCTTTCTCCGGGAGATGGAGAACTCCTTCTCACACTGCTTACAGTGGGTAGCTTCGTCATCTTTCAGCCAAGTGTGGCCCTGGGAGGAAAGCACATTGATGGCCGGCTCCTGTGTTCTGGCTGCTCAGTACCCAGTTCCCCAATAGCCTCATTCCTCTCCAGGGACAGACCTGGCCTGGCCTGTGGCTCTGGTTTTCAGCCTAAGCATGCTGTCCCCTGGGCCTCAAGCCGGATTCTCCAGCCCCCTGTTCACCTTCCAATAGAGGCCTCTGGCTGAGTCCTGAGAGTCAGGGTTGCAGCTCCAACCCTGGCTGAGGCACTCTGAGTGTCTCTTGAACCGGCAGGAGGGAGAAAGGCCAGCCCTTCAGCCGGACGGAAACCATCCGCCACGGGTCCCTGTCCCGGGAAGCCCCTCATCCTGCGAGCACCGTGGGGAGGCGCCTGTCTCCACTCTGTGGAGGAGGTACCTGAGGCTCTGAAAGGGGCCTAGAAGCCTGATGTCTATCTGTGTGCAGTGCAGGGCACACGCAGCCCAGCAGCCCGGCCGTTACATGGAAGGAGCTTCCACTCTACAGGGAGGTAGAGAGACAGTTGTTCCAAGTGCAGTGCTGGTCGGTGCTGCGACCCTTTGCTGCCTCTGACCTGTGTGCGCTGGAGGGGAGATGCCCGGTCATCAGGTCTCTGCTCCGGCGTATACTTGGGGGAGCAGCTGGCCCTGCTGTCACCACCACCGGTGGGCTGTCCCTTCTGCTCAACTGCCCTGGGCCACCTGGCCACACGGTCCTGCTCGGTGGTGTCACGCTGCTCTTCCCAAAATGACCCGGCCTCCTGCCCCGCTCAGGGTGTCGGTGGCCCCTGAAACGGCGCAGGCCCCACAGGAGCAGGGAGGGCTCTGGTCTCACTCGGAGGAAAGGCCTCACTCTCACTATGAAAAACACCTTCCTTCGCCAGGGCACCTGCATCGGGGCCTGTGTCACTCCAGCTGGTGGCAGAGGAACAAGTCAGGAGACGGTTCCCGTGGGCCTGCCGCTCCCCGGCACGGCCAGCGCAGCAGTGCCGCCGCTCGGAGCAGCATTTACCTCTAACGGTCAGGACCGCGCCTCAGCCCCTCAGGACTCACTGACTTCTGGGGAGAAGACCCAGGCGCACGCAGGGTATTAGCACGGGCTGACCAATAGTCACAGAGCGGCTTTCATGCTAATAACAGGAATAACTCAGTACCTTCAGTGCTTTATTGACTTCCTTGATGTCTTCCATCTTCAGCTTTGACCTTTAAAAAAGGAGAGAGAGCAGGTTTGTGGGGTAATAACTTAGGAGTATAATATGAGTCGTTCTAAAATGTTTCCCACTTTTTTATAATCCCAGAATCGCCTCATCCACCGGCTCCCATGTCGAGGGCTGAGCTGAGCCTGTGGACTGAATCTGGCCCCAAAACAGACCGTTTAGCCTGCCAGGATCGAAAATGACTGAAATACTGCGATCGTTTGAGAATTCTCTCACAAAAGCCCAGGGTTCTGGGTCTCTGGGCAAACATTCCTGCACGTGACTGCTCGGCCCGGGAGGCTCCTGTTCCAGGCACCCTGCTGACCGCGGGGCAGGGGAGCGCATGGCCGCTGTCCTTGCTCTGTGTTGCTGGTGTAAGAGCATTTAGCCACATAAAAGGACAGCGGTCAAACGGGCAGAGTTAAGCTAGAAAACACAACACACTCATTTGTGGGGAGAATGGTCTGAGCCTTTCTCTTTTCTTTTCTTTCTCTGACCACCACACAAGCTTTATTTGCACAAGCTGCGTGCGATGTTGCTGGGCTGTCCCGGGGAGGAGGGCAGGCCTTTTCTCTCTACCTGTCACTGAAATGTAAGTTAACACAACTGCAAGGGCAAAGGACTCTGAGCCCCTATTTTAATTATGATAAATTATGATCATTTTTTCCATCACCATGTATCCTCTATGCTCTCTTCCACCCCACCCGCTCCACCCTGCCATCAGCACACTGCTGTCCATGTCCATGAGTTCTCTTTTCCCCTCAATCCCTCAACCCTCACCCCCCCAACCTCCACCCGCCTCCACCACCAAAGCTATCTAATCTAAGGGTCAAAGTGTTAGTGCTCTGAGCATCAGGGCCGTTAGAAAACCCCCGTGGCTTTCAGGAAAGATCACGCCCCCCCCCTCCCCCCGCCCGGGGGGGCCCGGGCCGCAGTTTAAGAAAAACTTTTAGGAAGAGACTTTCGTCTGGGTTCCTCAAAGGTCCCTCAGCCACTACTCACCCCCTCTGTATAGGTCTGGAACAAGTGAAGGCCCCTCGAATAAAAAATTAGAAGGCTCCAAGAAACGGATGGGCCTCTCTCAATCAAAGCCATTTGGACTCGAAGGGAATTTGAGTATTTTGTCCAAGGCAGCATGGCAGCAAAAACACAAGCTCCAAGTCATGATCCTGCTGCCCTTAATTAAATCCCCAAGCTTATTAGAGCTG